GAAGCAAAAGACACACGAGTTAAAGTATTCCAGTAAACTGACTGTGGACAGAGCTTTGACCTGTGATACAGCCTGAAAAATATCACCATTTACAGTAGAGAGAAACTGTACACATGTTCTGTGTGCGGATGACGCTTCAACTGATTGTCCACCCTGGAGACAGACAAGGACAGTTTCACTACAGAAAAACTGTGAAATTGTGAGGACTGAGAGAAGGGATTCAGACTCCCACAGAGCTAAAAACACATGGACACAGTCACATTGGTGTCAGCGCTATGGAAAAACTGTAGAAATGTGGTGACTTTGGTAAAGTAGTTAGATACCCATCCCAGTTGGAAATCCATTGAAATTAACCACACTATGGGTAAACTGTGGAAATGTGAAATTTGTTGGAAGAGTTTCAGTGACCTACCCTGGTTGGGAATCCATTGACAGAAATGTTGAAATTGTGGGAAGCGATTCAGTTGTCCATCGCAGTTGGAAATTAATCAGTGCTGTCACAGTGGAGAGAAGAAATTCATCTGCTCTGAGTGTAGAAAGGGATTCACTGTCATTTATCCTACTGGCACACCAGCAAATTCACGCTGGGGAAAAGTCATTCACCTGCTTGAATTGTGGGAAGTGATTCACTTGGCCATCCAGCCTGCTGGCACACCAGCGAGTTTGCACTGGAGAGAAACTATTTACGTGTTCCACTTAAAAAGAAGGGATTCAGTCATTCATCAAACTTAATGAAAACCGAAAGAACTGCGGATGCTGTAAATCAGGAAACAAAACAGAAATTACTGGAAAAGCTCAGCAGGTCTGGCAGCATCTGTGAAGGAAAAGATAGTTAACGTTTCGGGTCCAGTGACCCAGGGTTCTGAGGAAGGGTCACCGGACCCGAAACGTTAACTCTGTTTTTTCCTTCACAGATGCTGCCAGACCTGCTGAGCTTTTCCATCAACTTTGCTTTTGTTCCTGATTTACAGCATCCACAGTTCTTTCGGTTTTTTCTTAATTCTTCCTGTTGTGCAATTTGTCTTTTTAAAACAAAACTAAAGCAATACTTTAAAATATGAAATGTATTTAAAGATAATTGACTAAGATCCATACTCGTTAATGATTATGGTTTCTACAACGTAAATATCTCAGTCACAAGTTTTCTTGTATTCTTTAATTGAATTCTAATTGAATGCAGCAGTTAATGTGATTATCACTGGATAGGTGCATCTTCATCATTAGTTCTTCCTCACCAAATAAAACATGCAGTGTTCCTGAAGCAGCTTTCAGCAAAATACAGACCTGAATCTGCAATGGCAGTCTGAGGAAATTTCAGTGAATATCCATAGGATTTTTGTTTAATTCATTCATGCGATGAGGGTGTCACTGTCTGGGCCAGCATTTATTAGACAGCAGTTACGAATTAGTTGCGTTGCTGCAGATCTGGAGTCACATATAGGCCAGGCCAGGCAAGGAAGGCGGTTTTCATTCATGAACCAGATAGGATTGTTGGGAACAACCTAACAATGGTTATCAATAATTCCAGACTTTTTTAAAAAATCTGTCCACTTCAAATTCTACAATCTTCCATGGCAGGATGAGATCCCAGGACCCCAGAAAATTGTGTAAGTCTCTGGATTAAAAGTGCAGCAATAATACCACAATACCATAGTTTCCCACTTGTGTCTAAACTTCTTTGACATGACACTCATCGGTTTCTTAGAACATCCACACCTTATCCTCACTTCATTCCAGCATTCAATTTCTCTATATTTATCTGCAAACACATTCGTCATCAATAAGAGTCTTGCTTACTTTCAAAGCTCCCTGTTCCATTTATAAAGAGGTGCTACTGAAAATAATAAAGCTAGCTTTTCTATTTAACAGCTTTCCATTGATAACCTTTGCGATATGTTGTGGGTCCACTAAAACAACAGAACGAGCCATTCTGCTCGTCAAGTTTAAACAAATTATTTTACAGAGAAATCAGTCTATCCTACCTCCCCGCCAAGACGGAAACAACAGCCTAGTGATATTATCACTGGACTGTTAATCCAGAGACCCAGGTAATCTTCTGGGGAGCCAGGTTCCAATCCTATCACAGAGAGAGAGAGGCAGAGAGAGAGAGGGTTAGGGGACAGAAGTGGGTAGAGGGAGAGTGAGAGGGGGACAAAGGAGGCGAGGGGGGGGATCAAATGAGGAGAGATGGAGTAAGAGTGAGGGGGGAGAGAGGTAGGGGTGAGAGAGGAGGTTAGTCAGAGCAGTATAGAGGGAGAGTGAGAGGAGACGGAGGCAATGAGAGAGGGAGACAGTGGAGGCAGAGGGAGGGGGAGAGAGTCGGACAGAGTGAGTGAAAGGAGTGGGACAGAGGTACAGAGAGAGGGAGGAAGAGACAAAGACAGTGACAGAATGAGAGAGTGGGTACAGAAGGAGAGACAGAGGGGACAGGGGAGAAAGAGTGAAGAGGCAGAGTGGTAGGGGGGACACAAAGAGAGAGACAGGGACAGATTGGGGGAGAGAAAGGACTGTGGGAGATAAACAGACAGATATACAGGGAGAGAGGGTGGGGGCAGAGGGCAGTGATATAGGGAGTAATGAGGGGGACGGAGAGAGATGGAGGGTGGGGGTGAGAGCTCGAATGGGATAGAGAGAGGGAGAGAGGAAAGGACAGATGAGGAGAGAGACATTGTTGTTCACAGATGGGTGGACAGAGAGAGAGAGGCCGCAGGGACAGAGGGGAAGAGAGACGGGAACAGAGTGGGAGGGGGGTGGATGGGAGAGGCAGAGAGTGAGTTAGAAGGGGCAGGGCGGACAGATGAAGCCAGAGGGAGAGAGAGGCAACAAAGGATGGAGAAGAAGGGGTGACAGACGGGTAGAGAGTGAGAAGGGGAGAGGAAGGGGTGGCATATATGGAGAGAGAGTGAGACGGAAGAGGGGGCGAGAGAGGAGGTCTGTCAGAGGAATACACTAGGAGAGTGAGGAGGACGGGGGTGAGAGAGGGGAATGAAGACAGAGGCAGTGAGGGAGGGAGACAGAGAGGGCAGAGTGAGAGAGGGAGGAGAGAGAAGGAAAGAAAGAAGGTAGAGAGAGGAGGACAAAGGGTAGAGAGAATGGGAGAGAGGGAGTGAGAGGTGGGGGTCATCGGCACAGAGATGAAGAGAGAAAGGGGGACAGGAAAAGAGAAGGTGGGCAGAGACAGTGACAGAGTGAGAGAGAGAGGGCAAAGGGGGAGAAGGGGAAGACAGAGGGAGAGATAGAGACAGTGGCAGAATAAGAGAGAGGGAGACAGAAGGAAGAGAGTTTGGAGAGAAAGAGAGGGAAAGTGGGACAGAGGAGGAGACAGAGAGAGAAAGAGAGGGACATGGACAGAGGTAGAGAGGGAAGTGGGAGAGAGAGGGGGAGCGGGAGAGAGGGAGAAATAGAGAGAGGGGAGAGACAGAGAGGGACACAGACAGAGGGAGAGAGAGAGAGAAGGGGACAGAGGTGGACAGAGAGAGGGTGTGTCCAGAGGCTCACAGCGGGAGAGAGAGATTTAGAGGGAGAGAGAGAAGGTGGAGTTAGGGGAACAGAGGGAGTGAGTGAAGGGTGTGACAGAAACACAGAGAGAGAGGGAGAGATAAAGAGAGAGAGATGGGGACACAGAGAGAGAAGGGGTAATGGGGTGGGACAGAGAAAAAGACAGTTTCAGAGTGTGAGAGAGGGAGACAGAGGTGGGAGAAGAGAGAGGGAAAGGTGGACAGTGGTGGAGTGAGAGAAAGTGACAGGGACAGAGGGAAAGAGAGAGGGGGGCAAAGGGGAGAAAGCGAGGGGAGAATCACAGAGGAGGAGAGGGAGAGATGGATTGGGGGACAGAGCAGAGAGATAGAGAGAGACAGAAGGGGACAGATGGAGAGAGAGAACGAGACATGGACAGAGGTGGAGGGAGAGAGGAGGGGGTAAAGAGAGAGACAGAGTGAGAGAGAGCGAGGAGGACAGAGGGGCAAAGAGAGATAGTGGGACGGGGGTCAGAGAGAAAGATGGGGGGAAAGGGTGGACGAGGGTAGACAGAAAGCAGGGGACAGACAGAGAGGGAGGGAGAGTGATGGGATAGAGAGAGGGGGGAACAGAGGGGTTTGATAGAGAAAGGGTACAAAGGGAGAGAGAGACAGAGGGGGAGAGAGATAGATGGACAAAGGAAGAGAGGCCGAGAGAGGGACAGAGGACAGAGGTGGATAGTGGGACAGTGAGAAGGGGACAGAGGGGGAGAGAGAGAGAGAAGGACAGAGAGAGATTGTGAGAGGGAGAGAGAGCA